GATGAAAGTGTAACCCTGTGACGACCGATGCATAGCCAAGTCGTCAACCCAAGAAGCGCCTGCGTGTCCAGTGAGGACAACTCGACCCCGTCCTCCAAGCATGAGCCCCATGCCCGACGTACTGCACAAGTAGCGCAACACCCTCTTAGCGGCCTCCCAGTGCTCTGGTCGGTGTCTCCCGGGCGCAACGTAGCGTGCCAGGATGCTAAGAGGGTAGGCAAGGTCAGGTCGAGTGCAGGTCATCAGGTACATGAGGCAGCCCACAAGCTCTGGATACGGGCCACTCGGCTCTACGGACTCGTCCGAAGGTGGAGCAGAGAGCGAGTGATCGGTAGGCAGAGGAGTAGACTGTGGCGAGGAGTACTGGAAGCGGAAGCGCTGAAGGACCTGCTGCACCATGTGTGACTGAGTCAAGGTAATGATGCGCCGTGCTCTGTCCCGGGTGATCTGCAAGCCAAGATAGCTGCGCAGCTCACCCAGGTCTGTGCACGTGTGTCTCTTCTGCAGCTCCGACTTCACTAGGGCCAGTCCCTCAGTGTCAGCAGTGGCAAAGACCAAGTCGTCGACGTACACGAGGATGTAGAACGGCGGCAACAAAGTGTCGGTGCGTAGAAACAGCTACGGGTCAGCAGTCGAAGGAGCAAGCCCAAGAGCCGCAAGAGTCGTCCTCAGTGTGTCGTGCCACTCGCGAGGCGCCTGGCGGAGACCATAGAATGGCCGCCGGAGGCTCCACTGGGTACCTGCAGGAAACGACCCAGTGAAGCCAGGTGGGCGGCGCAGCCAGATCTCCTCGTGCAGGCTGCCCTGTAAGATAGCTGTGCTGAAGTCAAGAGAGTGAAGCTCGTAGTCACGTTGAGCGGCGACGTGCAGCAGCACCCGAAGAGTGGTCATCTTCGGGGTAGGGGAGAAGGTCTGGAAGGCTGGAGGAGGCAGCAGCAGCGACCCAACCAGCAGCAGCAGGTGCAGGAGCAGTTTCAGAAGTGGTGCCTTCAGTAGCAATGGGGACCTGGTGGTCCGGGGAGCGTCGGCCGTAGCAGTGGCCCTGGCAGCTAGGGGGCATGTCGCGGTGGCCGCGACGTTGGCCCCTGCAAGTACCGGATCCTGACTGGTACGGGTACATGCACTACGTGTGGGCGCCTCGACCACTCTGCTCTGCGCTGCTTCAGTCTCCTCGACGTCCTCTTTCGCGACCGTTTAGGGCCTCAGGGGATCCCTCTGCACAGGCCCGCTTTGTTGAGCCGTGGTTACTAGTTGTTTGTTATGACCATGGATGATGTCTATTCTGCGATGTGTTATTGACTATAGTACTGCTTGATCCTTTTACTCGCGTGTACTTAGACTAGGATCTTTGCCTGTTTCTAGTGTAGGTGCTTGCATTGTTGCTAGCTCAGGTGTGACTTCTGCTGCCGTGTCACTCTCCTTTATGCTCGACTCCGGCGCATCCCTGTGCTTCTTTCGTGACTGCACCACGGTCACGCCGCTTCCCACCCCAGTTGCAATTGCTTTGGCTGATTCCACGCCTGGACCAGCCGTCGCTTGCAGTATTACCTCGCCTCCATGTCTAGATTGCCCCTCCTGTTCCCTCACAGGTCTCCACATCCTCTCGTTCTCCAAGGACATGGTGGGTGTTGGACACCTTCAGGACCATGGGATCACAATCGCTTTTCCTGCACACAAGAGGTTTGCGACCTGTACGGGCGCTACCACCGGGGCACGTCTGTCCACGTTTTCCCGCAAGCCTTCATCACGTCTGGCCACGTTTTACCGCGTCCCCCCAGGTACTTGCGTCAGGTCAGGTTGTTGTGTCGTGCTCCTGTCGGTCATTCAACCAACCCTCCCTCCTGTGGCACCATCGTCTAGGTCAACCTGCACCAACACGTCTCCTTCACATGGCTAGGCACGGTCTTGTTGTCGCTTCCTCCGCTCCTTCCGTCGCCTGCTCCGCCGTGCACTTTCGCGTCGAGGGTCAGCAGCGCGTCGCCCCTCATTCCTCCTCACTTGAGCCATGCCACCTCTTCGGACTTCGCGCATGGACGTCTGGGGCCCTGTCCCGGTCTCTCGGTCACACTTGGAGAGCTACTTCCTCGTGGTTGTGGATGACTTCTCACGCTACACCACGGTGTTTCCCCTGGAGCGGAAGGCCGACGTGCCTGGTGCTCTGATCCCGTGAATAGTGGTCACACGCGTCCAGCGCAGCCTGCTTGTGCTTCGTCTACACTTCGACCTGGAGTTGAGTTTCGCTCTGGCCGACTTGATGAGTTCTGTCGCAAACATGGCATCACCCAGTCCTACACGCTCCCAGACTCACCACAGCAGAATGGGGTTGGTGAGCACCGCATAGGCTTGGTCACGGAGATCGCCCATACCTCGATGGTCCATGCCTGTGCACCTCATTTTCTGTGGGCCTTTGTGGTCCGTTACGCCGCGCATCAGCTGAACCGGTGGCCTTGTGTTTCGCGCCCACACGTTTCACGGACCCGTCTCTGGATCGGTTCCCCTTGCGTTTCGTGTCTGGGGTTGCCTTGCGCATGTCTGCGAGCCTTGCGCTGTTCTACTTCTGATAGTGTTGCATGCAGAGCTTGCACCGTCGAATGTTGGATTGATTCGCTTTGGCTGTCAATGTCGCGATTTCGAGAGCGTGTTCGTGCAGCTAGCGAGTTAACATGTCGGGGCGCTCCTGGGTCAGTTCTTCGGGCTAGATACGTCCAGCCATGGAGAGAGGTGTCGGGCAAAAACTAGGTGGCAAACTCAGTCGTTGCCGTGAGTGCTTGCGAGAGAGCCCGCTAACAGCGGTACTGGGCATTGAAGAACGTCCAAAAGTATGAACTGGAGTGGAAGCGAAGCGTATGCGGACCGCAAATAAAGTGGCTTTGGATACAAAGTGTTATAAGGTCGATTGAGTAAGTGAACGAAGATTGCACTATCGAGCAATTGAACATGAGTGGAGGCATAAGAGATATTACGTAGCGAAACTAGGGGTAACTGTAACACGCGAAAATGTGGGGTGCTCTACGGTCCTAACGCCGAGGTTGGGAAATATCTGTGGCTTAGGGTCGGACTATGGGTTACCAACCGATACGTAAGGCTCGGACGCGATGGCGCGAACGTCAAGGCGAACGTCGTGAAATTGTAACGTGACGGAAAATGGTCGTGGGCAGCAGTGTTGCATACGGTATGCAGGGTGACGCAAAGTAAGGAAAAGTTGACTCATTGTGGCAAGATAACTCACCTAAAGCTCCATATATTGTTGAGTGGATCACCTGCTCACTCGTGTAGTTCTGTTTATTTCAAAATCATTTGCCTGTAGTGGAGCCACCAGCCTGGATCTGCTGCTGAGCCTAGAAATGCTCAAAACCTTACTCAACCGCTCCCACTTAATAACGAAACGATTCAAAACGCAAAGAAACCACCAAAGCAAACTCTTCCTCCTGGCCCTTACCACGAAACTGATATTGAGACCGCCTTAGTTGAATAATCGCGAATTTGCGCGGTTCGAGACAGCCCCGAGCAACGCGGTGCTCGCAAATATCCGCGCTGCTCGAGCTTTCGTCTGAAGTTCCGAGATTCCGTATCCGGGAGGCCGAGCGAGGCGTTTGAATGCGGAATTCGGAATCCAGTTTTGAGACGTCTCTAAACTCGAATACGGAACAGACTCTCGTCCGAGATTCCGTATCCGGGAGGCCGAGCGAGCGAGGCGTTCGAAATGGCGAAGAGTATTTTCCAGGCCGCGGCAACCCTGACGAGGGCACTCAATCACGGATGTACTAAAATTAGTAGCACTGAATCCAGAAGCATTTACTGTAGCAGCTTTACTGCCAAAGGAGTGAGCGCTTTCGCACGCGCAGGAGAGACCGCAGTACTCGCGCGATCGGGTCAATCAGGGACTCAGAACTTGTCGCATGAGTGGTTTCGTGGATCAAAAGCGGGTCATATAGTAGCCACTTCACGACAAGATGTATCAATACCCGCCTTAGGCGGAAAGGCTTTAAGTTGCTCCACATCCCAGCCCTTCGTTTCCTCCTCCGCCGCCGTTCCCGCCGTATTTTCCGGCAATGCTTCCGTCGGCTGTTTCCCCGGCGATTCTTCCGTATTTCCCGCCGCCTTTGTCTCTGATAGAAGTTTTGACTTCGGCATAGGAGTTCCCGCGAATCACGGCGCGAGAAGATGCGCCAGCCAATCTGAAGCTGCCACGCAAGCGCCGCTGTCGTCATCACCGTCTTCGTCCTCGTCAGCAGCGCCATCAGCAGGAGCAGCAGATACAATGGCAGCAGCAGCAGCAGAAGCAGCAGCATCGTCAGCATCATTGTCAGCAGCAGTCGCGACGGCAGCGGGCGGCCCGAGATGCCCGCCGATTTTCGAGCTGCGCACGTACCGCATAGTCCCCGGCGAGTTAAAGACCTATTTAGACGCGACGCGGCGATTCGCGGCGCTGCGGAAAGAGCTGAGCCCCGGATGGCGCGGGTAGGCGGCACGGGGGGGAATGGGGTAAACGGGAGGAAGGGGGGAATGGGGAAAGGGCTGAGGGCGCGGGTAGGTGGCAGAAAGGAGGGGGGTGGAGGAGGGAGGGGGGGAGAGGGGGGAGGAGGGGGAAGGGATGGAAGGGGGGGGAGGAGGGGTAGGCGGGGAAGGTGTTAATAAGAAGGCGGGGAAGCGGGGTAGGCGGGGAAGGAGGGGGAGACAGCAGAAAGAAGGGTGGGGAGGGAGAGGGGGGAAGTAAGGGGGGATGGAAGATGGGGGATTAGGCGGTAGGGGGAATTGGGGAGCGATGCGAGGTTGTGTTCGGTTGGAGTGATTAAGAGGGGTGGTACACGGGCATGGGGGATGAATTGTGAGGGGGATCATTTCTTGGGTAGTGCTTGGACACTGGTGTGTTGGCAATGGCTTCCCTTTGAACCTCTACTTACCTCTCCCCTCCGCTTCCCCTCCCCTCCCCTCCCTCCTCTTTCCTCCTTTCCTCTCCCCTCTGCATCCCCTCCTCCCTCACCCATCAGTTTTGGACCATGGAGACTGGGGGAGTGCTGAACGAGGTGCATCACCTCTCCCCTTCTCTCCCCCCCACTCCACTCCTCTCCACACCTCTCTACTCCTCTCTACTCCTCTCTACTCCTCTCTACACCTCTCTACACCTCTCTACACCTCTCTACACCTCTCTACACCTCTCTAATCCTCTCTACTCCTCTCTACTCCTCTCCTACCCGCCCCCCATCAGTTTTTGGACGGTGGAGACTGGAGGAGTGCTGAACGAGGTGCATCATTTCTACTGCTATCCTGGTAATATTTTCTATTGTTACTCTGGTAACCACTTCTATTGTTACTCTGGTAACCACTTCTATTGTTACTCTGTTATCCACTTCTATTGTTACTCTTGTAACCATTTTTACCTCCACTTTGATGCCAGTTGTTACTGATACCATGGTACCCACTTCTAGCCCTGGTAACCTGTCAAAGCTGCTGGTTACATTCGCAGGGAGTGGACTCGAAAGTCACCCCCTCTTTTTGAGTCCACTCCAAATTCCGCTCTCCTCACTCCTGCTTCCCCCTGCCAACCCGCCCAACACACACAAGCGGGTGGAGGAGAGGGACGCAGTGCGAGCAGGCATGGCGGGCAGCAGGGGGTGGTCTCATAACAGCTTAAGAAGTAGGGAGGACTTAGAACCACCTTCCTCCCCCTTCCTCCTTCCCCCTTCCCCCTTGACGCACACAGGCGGGTGGGAGGAGAGGGACGCAGTGAGAGCAGGCATGGCGGGCAGCAGGGGGTGGACTCATGAGTACCTGCCTCTGGTGAAGCCAGCATTCCAATCGCAGGTAAGGCCGTGGGGGGGCATTAGAGTGAACCCACTCACCAGGGTGGTCGAATGGATAGCATTCCTGACTCACTTCAATACGCAGCAGGCATGGGGAACAGCAGCGAGTGGGCTCAGGAGTACCTCCCTCTTGTAAAGCCGGCGTTTCAGTCACTGGTGACGATGCAGTCGACTTGACTGTTCTTTTGCCATACTTGTTGGGCCTTGTTCGATTCTCCCCTGTAATCCTTCCATCTGTTGCAGCTGGGATAGTTTGGGTAGCCGGGCAAGCTTGGGTTTACTGTGACTCATTCGCCGCCGCTCATTGTCATTTATCTTTCTCTCGCTCGACTTTTGGGTTAAAAAAGCCCTCAAAGGGTTGTTGTTCTGGATCAATTGTGGCTGATGTGGCTGTGACTCTTACGACTGTTGAGGTGCCTAAAAAAAATCGTCTTTTGAGGGGCCTCGCAAGTGTAGTTGCTGTGGCTGTGGCTGTGGCTTTTGATTCTGGCTGGAGTGAAGAAAAATCGTCTCTTGGCCTCCACCTCCAGCCAAGAAGCATATGGAGTGTCTCCCACGTCCATATGGAGCCACCTCCATGTCTTTTCTTCTTCCCCCGTTTGCTCTCATATGCTTCTGGGCTGTAGGAATCGAGCATTTTCCTGGAAGATTCCAAGTGCATGGCTGCAGTGGCAGAGGCTGCAGCAAGCTCTTCAACCTCTTCCTCCGCTTCACCAACATCAGTATCGCCTTCACCACCAGCACCACTTGAACCATCACCAGCATCCCCCGGGGTGTATGAGCTCCGTTGCTACAAGGCACGAGGGGAGCCTGAGAGCCCTAGCACTACTCACAGCATCCAGGAAACATTTTCTTTAACGTAAGTAACGTTAGGAAGGATTCAGCACCCGTACCACCACCACCATTAGAGCTGCGTTGTTACAGGGGACACTGCGGCTACGTTGGCAGATACGCCCTGAGCAGGGTTGCGTACCACGTACATACGCTGGCGTATGTACGTGGTACGCCAATACGCTCGTATTTCTTGGAAATACGCCCGAGCAGACCGTCAAAAAAAAAAAAACGACATTGAAAAATTTCGCGAAGGTTTTGCGACTTCGCGATTTGTTACCGCGAAGTCGCACATCGCCCAACCCAGTTCTGAAATTCAAAATTCGAGTTCCAAACCTTCCAACCCCCCAACCACACACCACCCCACCAAACCTCTCATCTCCAACCATCCCTCTCAAATGTTGTTCAGCAACTCGTCTCCTCATATAATGGATGACAAGTTCCTTTGTTTCATTCAATTGCGGTGCTCGTTTTTATTCCCGTAGCTCTCTTCTCCCGTTCGTCCTCATGGCGTCTAACTCCACCCCTCCTACTGCGACGAGCAATGTTGGATCTGTTAACGCGTCTAATGGCGCAATCAATACGGAGCCTGTCGAGGCTGGCCTTTCGAACCCCATTCTGAAACATTTTCTTATTCCGTACCATACTAAAGGCACTCCCAAGATGTGTAAGTTCTGTGACTTCACGTTTGAGGGCGGAACCAATCGCTGCGCGATTCACCTTGCGAAATGGAAAGGGCAGGAGAAACGCGCTGTCCGGCTTTGCAAGAAGGTGTCCGCGGCAGTCAGTGAAGAAGTGCGCGGCATGTACGAGGAGAAGGTGGAGAAGCAGGGCGTCAAACGAGGGGCGGCCGCTGCAGCAATTGACTCCGCGCTGGGCGCGGTCACTGGTTCTTCAGAGAAGAAGGGGAAGATAACGTCCTTCTTCAGCGATGAGGCGACGAGCGCCAAGGAGGACGCGGATAACGCCCTCTGCCTTTTGATCGCGGCGTTAAGACTTCCCGAGCGCATCGCGGATGACCCGGTCTTCCGCTACGCGGTCCAGTGCTTTGCGCGCGCTGGACCGGGGTACGTCCCCCCCAACAGGCGCTACATTGGAGGGGCGGGCTTGAAGAAGGTGCGGCAGAAAATGGAGGAGGCGCTCGCCCCCGTTGCCGCCAGCTGGAAGCGGGACGGGGTCACCGTGTCGTCGGACATGATGACTGACCGTTGTGGCCGCCCGCAGGCCAACGTGCTCCTTGTCAACGACTCAGGCGCAGTGTTCGAGCAGGCGGTGGACTGCAACATGGAGTCGAAGACCGGGGGGTACATCGCCAGCCTTCTCCGCCCCGTCATTGATAAGGTGGGGCCGGAGAATGTGGTGGCGGTCTGCACTGATGGCGGCAGCAACTATGCCTCGGCAGCCAAGAAGATTGCGAGCACATGGCCGCACATTGAGCATGTGCCATGTGCCACGCATGTCCTGGACCTGATGATGGAAGACGTGGGCAAGATGGGATGGGCGAAGGGGCTCGTGGAGAAGGGGGGGATGATGATTACCTTTGTGCGCAACCACCACTTCACCCGTGCTTACATGAAGAAGGGTGGGGGGAAACAGGTGCTCAAGCCCGCGGGGACCAGGTTCGGGATGCAGTACATAGCTCTGTCCCGGCTGTGCGAGGTGCGGGGTGGGCTGGCGCAGATGGTTCTCAGCGACGAGTGGAATGAGTGGGCAGTGGCGGACGAGGACAGGAAGACTGCAGCCGAGAAGTTCAGGGCTGCCGTGATGGATGAGGAGTGGTGGGGGCTGGCGGTGTTTTTTACCTCTCTCATGGCGGTGCCGTACAAGGCCATGCGGGCCACGGACTCCTCGGCGAAGGGGATGATGGGTAAGATGTATGATATCATGCTACAACTTACCGAGGACATCAATGACAAGTTCGACGAGGCAGGGGACTATTTGACAAGGGCGGAAAAGGCTGATATCACCAAGATTGTGAAGGACAGGTGGGACAACTCACTTGCCTGCCCCATGCATGTGGTTGGCCGGATCCTGAATCCGGCCAACCAGGTGGAGGGAATTTTCAGGAACGACGTGGAGTGCACTCGAGTGTTCAAGGCCTACATCGAGCGCCACTACGACAACAAAACCTTCAGGCGTGGCAAGGATGGCGCCCCTCGCCGCGCCTCCCTTGTTCTGCAGGAGGCATTGCTGGCCTACATCAACATGGAGGGCAGCTTTGGCACGCCGGCCGCCATCTCTGCAAGGGAGGCAGTGAAGAAGGGGGAGATGAGCATGGTGCAGTGGTGGTCGTGGCACAGCACCGAGTACCCTGAGCTTGCCACCCTCGCATGCCGGGTGCTCACTCAGCCCGTCTCGGCTTCCCCATGCGAACGTGGCTGGGCACAGTGGGAAGGCGTCCACACCGCCCGCCGCAACCGGCTTGGGTCCGCCAAGTGTGCGGACCTCGTCTACATTGCGCACAACTGGAACGTTGTGCGCAATTGGTACAAGAAGGATGGGGGCAGCACGGTTGTCCCCGGTAACATCCCCGGATGCCCCTATCCCTCGCGGCTACAACATGGACGAGGAGGAGGAGGATGACCTGCTGGGGGGGGAAGGAGAGGATGCAGTTCTGGCGGATGAGTATGGGGCAGGGGTGGTGTTGGAAAAGCCCCGCAAGGAACTCGGCTGTGGGGAAGCTAGCTAGAGGGTGGGGTGGGGATGTATGGGGGGTGGGGAGAAGTAGCCTCGAAGATGTATTTTTGGATATTTATGAAATTAAATTATGACGTGTTTTTGGGAAACATAACCCCCCCCCCCCCCCCCCCCCCCCCCCCTGTAACAGGTTTTTTTAGCCCTGCCCGGGAAAAAAAGTTTTACCTGCCCGCCCAGCGTATTTTTACGTATCACCAGTACGCCACCCCTGGCGTACCGCGTATATACCCAGCGTATAATACGCTGGCGTATAAAACGTGATACTCGTATCTGCCAACGTAGCACTGCGGGCCCTGGAGCTCGACTACCACCAGTCACCTTTTCAGTCGACTCAAAAGTCACCGACTCAAAAGTCACCGACTCAAAAGTCACCGACTCAAAAGTCACCGACTCAAAAGTCACCGACTCAAAAGTCACCGACTCAAAAGTCACCGACTCAAAAGTCACCGACTCAAAAGTCACCGACTCAAAAGTCACCGACTCAAAAGTCACCGACTCAAAAGTCACCGACTCAAAAGTCACCGACTCAAAAGTCACCGACTCAAAAGTCACCGACTCAAAAGTCACCTTCTCAAAAATCACCTCGCGGCGGGCCCTGGAGCTCGATTACCAGTCACAGCATCCAGGTAACGCTTTTGAGACGTCTCAACTCAAAAACTCACTCATTTCACATTACCAATCACCGCATCCAGGAAACATTTTCTATAAAGTAAGTAGCTTCAGCACCATCATCAACCCCAACCATCACCACCACCATCATTCCCACCACCACCGTCCCCCCGCTCGTATGAGCTGCGATGCTTCATACGATGCTTCAAGGGACAAGCCTTGTATCCACCCTCTATCTGCCTCTTCATCCCTCAATTGTTGCATCTCTTCCTGCCTCTCCCGGGCAGGCACTCCTGCCCCGCCCTTCCCGGTCCTGCCTTTCTCTCCCTCTCGCTCCCTCCCTGTCCGCCTCTCCCTCTCGCTCCTGCCCTGCCCTTCCCCTCTCTCACAGCCTCTCTGCACGCATGGCGGCTGCTCCGTCCTCTCGCTGCCTCGTTATCCCTCAATCATCCCCGTTGCATCCCTCTCCCTCTTACTCCTGCCCTGCCCTTCCCCTCTCTCACAGCCTCTCTGCACGCATGGCGGCTGCTCCGTCCTCTCGCTGCCTCGTTATCCCTCAATCATCCCCGTTGCATCCCTCTCCCTCTTACTCCTGCCCTGCCCTTCCCCTCTCTCACAGCCTCTCTGCACGCATGGCGGCTGCTCCGTCCTCTCGCTGCCTCGTTATCCCTCAATCATCCCCGTTGCATCCCTCTCCCTCTTACTCCTGCCCTGCCCTTCCCCTCTCTCACAGCCTCTCTGCACGCATGGCGGCTGCTCCGTCCTCTCGCTGCCTCGTTATCCCTCAATCATCCCCGTTGCATCCCTCTCCCTCTTACTCCTGCCCTGCCCTTCCCCTCTCTCACAGCCTCTCTGCACGCATGGCAGCTGTTCCCTCCTCTCGCTGCCTCTTTATTGGCTGCTCTGATGCCGGGTAACGTTCTCCTCTGCAATGTTTCTTAGTTGACTCCGGAATTGCTGGGTGCAAGCTTGCACTTCCACAACTCTCGACTCGCCTGGTCCCACTTTTGAGGCGCCTCAAAAGGTGCCTCAAAAGTTTTCTTAGTTGACTCCGGAATTGCTGGGTGCAAGCTTGCACTTCCACAACTCTCGACTCGCCTGGTCCCACTTTTGAGGCGCCTCAAAAGGTGCCTCAAAAGTTTTCTTAGTTGACTCCGGAATTGCTGGGTGCAAGCTTGCACTTCCACAACTCTCGACTCGCCTGGTCCCACTTTTGAGGCGCCTCAAAAGGTGCCTCAAAAGTTTTCTTAGTTGACTCCGGAATTGCTGGGTGCAAGCTTGCACTTCCACAACTCTCGACTCGCCTGGTCCCTCCTCTTGCTGCCTCTTTATTGGCTGCTCTGATGCTGGGCAACATTCCACACTTTTACCTGTCACACTTGTGAAATGTGCTTTTCCAGGGTCGTACTAATGGAATGCGATTAAGCTTACTATCAGCTTGTTACAAATGCTCATTTTCGAGCTGTCACGCACATTAAATGTGTTTCTGGACCCGTTCTATGCCTCGTTAGGAGCTTCTTTGATGCCAAACTATGCTCCCATGATTGCTCCTTTATTTGTTCTCTATCAAAATTGTGTTTTCTCTCATGCTTTTTCTCTCCTGACCTCCTGTCTTTTTACTCTCCTGTGACTGTTACTCACTCCCACTCACATTACCCTTGCTGGCTTGCAGTCCACATGGTGCCCTAGAGCTGTGGCACCACCCTAGCACCAGCGACTGTCCGTTAGCCGACTGACCCTCCGACTGTAGCCGACACGCTTGCGCACCCTTCTAACACTCATCTTCTCTCCCCTCTCATCTCCATGTCTGCTTTTGTTCACTCTCGTGCCACAGCAGCATCATTGACTGCTACTGAGTCGACAAGCTGGCACACCTTCTATCACACTCTGACCTTGCTGCTTCCCCACTCTCCCCACCCTTGCTTTCAGGCCATACAGTGCCCTAGAGCTGTGGCGCCACAGCAGCACCACTGACTGCTACTTGGCTGATAAGGTTGGTGCACCTTTCAACACTCTCTGTCGGTGGCATGATCTAGAGCTGTGATTGGCGGCCCTAGAGCTGTGATTGGCGGCCCTAGAGCTGTGATTGGCAGCCCTAGAGCTGTGATTGGCAGCCCTAGAGCTGTGATTGGCGGCCCTAGAGCTGTGATTGGCAGCACAGCAGCACCACCGACTGTTACTTGGCCGATAAGGTTGGGGCACCCTTCAATACACTCTGATTGCCTCTCTAGAGCTGTGATTTGTATGCACGTAAAAAGTCGTCTCACCTAGCTGGACGATAAGGTTGGGGCACCCATCATCATCACACTCTGTGATTGGCGGCCCTAGCGATGTCGCACACACTTCTCCTCTATGGCTCCTCTCGCCTCCCATCCCTCTGTCTCTCGTTTGCTGCTTTCCCTTTTGCTGTATAGTGCTCTCGTTGAAGCCCTGATCTGTGCCTGCCGGCTAAGTCAAAGTCGCCTCGGCTCCCTCTCTTGCTTTTATTTGTCTTGGTAGTTCAGAAGGTGTCTTGCCTCTAGTTAAGCACCTTTTTGTGCCGTTTTCCCTATGGAAACACCTGATTTTGGGTTGTGTTTGTCGTGCTATGATTAGATAATTATTCACTCTCTCATATATGTTTTGCCTCCCTGTCCCCACTTTGTCTCTGGTCGTTTGCTCCACCATCTGCTGCAGGCTAGTAACTCTTGTGTTGTTACAGCAAAGCATGTACCATCAGACCTTAGGCTCATTAGTAAGCAGATCATACGCCCCACATCCTTCTCTCCGTGGCAGTAACACTCTGTTGTTGTCGATCCAACTTGTACAAGTGGAGCTCTGTGTTTGGCCGAGAGCAATACACAATCAGTTGCCGCCTCAGAAGCTCAACTGGTGAACTTATAGTGTAGGTTAGGTTCCCTTGAGGGTTGGCAAGGGGAAAAGAGCGGACAATTTTGGGAAGAATAATCTTGAGGATGGCTCTACGCGAAGGAACGGCAAATTGAATGCAATGGGGGAATAAAACGTGGAGAGGAATAATGCACGGTATAGTAGTGTGGAACTTGTTTCAGGTGTTGGTGCATCGCGCAAACGAAAACACCTTTATCGCAGGTAACTTTTCACCGACACAAACCCCATCCCCAGTGGTTTTGGTCGCGTCGATTCCGAGTTTTGCCACATAAGTGGCTTTCGCCGACCACTTCGACAGGGTTCGTGTCGCGTCAGCCGAGTCTCGTCGCCACGGCTTTTACCGAGCCTGACTTTGCCGTCAAGTCAGGAGGCTCGGTGAAACCATCAAACGAGCGCTGCTGAAAGCCTCGCGGCGTCGCGTGGCAGTCATCTGACTGCAGTCACTTTGACGGCTTCCAGTCAGCAGAATGCCGAACGCGCAGTGACAAGCAAATCGGTCCCCAGTGGAGTTACGGCAGTGACGGCCAAAACTTTTGTTAAGCGGCCAAAACTTTCCCCCCGCAACCGAACTTTGGTCCTCCTAGCCGAAGTTCCTTGGGAAAAGGGGTCTGATGTGAGGGAGGCGGGTGCGAGGAAGGTCGTAAACTCCGTGAGGAAATGGTCAGCCTAAATGTTTTTCATTGGCTCTATAAAATTTGCGGTAAGTTCGGACGCAGCGCGTCTCTGCTGGACCGTGCTGAGCACGAACCACGATCTGGTTTGTGGTGGCTGGGTGATGGTTGTTTGCTCCTGGTTCGGTTGATATGTGCTGGTCTGGGTTAGGGCTAAACAAAACCCACGATTTCGCCGAGAGAAAATCGCTCAGCGCGGATGAACTTCCGCCGTCGCCAGCAAACGCACTCGAAGCCGCTCCTTCATCTGCCCCTGCCGCTCGATGCTCACCACCACCGTGCGATGCTGCCCGGCCAGTTCGCCATACCTCTCTTGAACACTTCACACTGTCCTTTCACATTGAGCCAGTTTCGAGTGTAGGGCTTCGGGAGTCGGGACTTCTGGTCTGGATTCTGGTCTGGTGGGCTTTCCCCCCCAAACCAAAACCACAATGACTCGGCTCAAGCCCATCGGGCTCTGAAGTCTCAAATTACTGTTCTCCTGGTCGGCCCCCATATCCCAACCTAGCCCTAACCATCTCCGAACCAAAGAGACCTTTTCTAAACCTATCCGTACCCCGTAACTCAACCCTCTGTCCCAGATTTTGCTCCACCGAACCAAAATCACCTCGACTCAACCAGCTGCACCCCCCACACACCCCCAACCCAATCTCTAGGTTGTCTTTCTGTCTGCTCTGCTCTCCTCCAGTGTCTCGTTCTCCTCCACTACACACACCCCACTCTGCTGTGCTCCCTCCCTATCACACGCAACTATTCCGAGTCGACTCTTCCCGCCCAAGCTTGCGTGCACGCGCACGGACATCATCCCTCCCTCCAGGAATCTCGACACCACCATGGCTTCAGATACACGTGTATTTAGTCTCTTCTGCAGCTCGCAGCTTCGCCAGCTTCGATGTCAAACGTGCTCGAAACCAGAAAGCGTGTCGAATTCATTTGTCCATGGTGTTTCGGCTGAGCTTGTCTGCTTGTCTCACGCCTGCACCCGTAGATGCCCATACCTTTTTGGATTCGAAGCTTTCTCTGCTAAACGACTTTTGGGAAGCTTTTCTATTCCAGCTATAGCAACTCCAAGTCTTCGCCGCCGTCTATTTAGTCGCGATCTCTTCTCGAAGAAGCGCGTCTTTCGATAATCTGCGTATTTATATTACTTCCTCCCTTTTCTTAAAGTGTCCACATCGAAATCTTACGACGATCCGTGTTCCGCGTGTTTTTATGGCTACCCAGTTCACGAGCTTAGCAATTATCCTGTCGCGGAATATCGTCGCGGAAAATCCTGAGACTGATTAAACGTCTTGCCGGCCTTCGTTTTTCTTTTCGAGGCTAGTGAACACTACGAGTAATATTTATTCGTGTCCGTAAGGCCCGGCATGGCAGAGAGGGACGATAGTGGTCTCACCGAATAAATCACGACTGAGAAAGACGATCTGAATAAACGCCTTATTGAATAAAGCGACATGGCGAGAAAAGGCGGGCAATTAGTAGGTATTCTCGATGTGCATATCCTTCAGGCTGAGAGACTACCGAATCGGTCCACACTCGGGGCTCAAGATGTGTACGCCAAGGTGCTGTGCGGTGATCGGGACCCGCTCGGACGAGTCGCACTCACGACGCGGGCGATCAAGGGAGGAGGCACGGACCCAGTCTTCGATCAACGGCTGCAGGTAAACCCAGTTTTTGATCGACGGCTACAGGTAGTACAACAAAGTCTTTTAGAATAATCAACTCCGTCTTGCTTCCCTTCTCCCCCCAAACCCCCCCCACCCCCCCCCCCCCCCCCCCCCCCTCCACCTCGTCCCCCTCCCTTGTTTTTCAATCTTTCTTTGCTGTACGATTTTTTCATGCACATGTATTCTTTTCTTTTTGCCTTCCCGTACCTGCCTGCAGGTTGGGATTCCCGAGCGTGCCACCGAGGTTAAATGCGAGGTTTGGTTCGCCAGCCACCACCGAGGCACCACGGAGGACCAGCTGCTCGCGTTTGTGTACATTCCGTTAAGGTATTTAGTGCACGAGTGAATAGATGAGCACGAATTTTGAGGATGTTACTATCGTTCTTCGTCTTTGAAGGGTTCGTGTATTCCCCCCAACTTCCTCGAGTCGCCTCCTCACCTCCCCCCCACATCCCTCGACCTCCCCTTACTCCTTTTCTTTCCATTCCCTCCTCCCCCCCAACAGAGACGCTTTAGAGAAGCAAGGCGAGCAAGAATTTCCGCTCACCACTGTAGACAACGAGGGCCGCGCTATACCGAGTACAGCCCGAATATCCATCTCATTCGCCTACCACCCTCGCCCAGGCGTCTCCTCCCCATTCCCCTTCTTCCCCTCCTCCTCCTCCGCCTCCTCTTCCTCCTCCTCCGCCCCCTCCTCCTCGTCCCGCGCAGCTTCCGCGAAACCCGCCAGTATTGCTGGCGGTATGCTTAGTAAAGCGATAGCGGCGGCGTTTTCCAGACGAGCATCGGAAAAGGCAGCGGGACGCGGAAGTGGGACGGGCGCAGGGGTGCCTGTGAAGCTGGAGGGGCAACGTACGCTTTCTGAGGCACCCGTACAATCGACATCGGGTTGGGGAAGTGTGATAGGCGCAGTGGGGACAGTTGGGGTGGAGGGGCAACGGCCGGTGCAGCAAGAGGAACAGCAGGAGGAGCAGCAACAGCGGCAACAGAAGCTGGAGCAGCAGCAACCGCCACAGCAGCAGCCGCATGCACACGAGCAGCAGCAAGGGCAGCAGCAAGAGCAATCCTCTGTCCCATCCCAGCAACTGCTAGGCCCTCTCTCATTCCTTATGGAAAAACAGGGCGTTAGAGACCCAGCCAAGATGGATTTGATTCAGGCACTGAGGGACGTGGCAGAAGTGGATAGGCTGGTCGGCAGCAGCAGCAGCAAGAGATTGCGGTCCCGATCTGGCCCCCTGAGGATGGGCGATGCTGAGTCTGCAGGCCTTGCTGCTGAGTCAGCAGGCCCTGTTGCTGAATCAGCAGCCACTGCTGGGTCAGCAGGCTCGGACACGTCATCAGCGGTGGAAGCAGTTACTGCGGGTGGTGGTGCTGCGTCTGCTAGTGCAGGTTCGGGGCCCGAGCCTGCTGGCCCGGGGCAACGCAGGCTGAGATACCGAGCCAGGTCCGGGCCTCTGCATGGTTCGGCAGGTGGCTCGGGCGGCCGTGGGGCAGGCAGGACGGGAGGTTCAGGAAGGCTGATGAGCAGTAGCGGGGAACTCTATAAGGAGGCAAAGGGAACGGAGGGCGATAACAGGCAGGAATCCTGGACAGGCGAATTGGGCAAACGGATTGGTGGGTTTGGGGAATGGACTGGTGAAGGGATGGGCGAAAAGATTGGTGAAGGGATGGGCGAAAGGATTGGTGAAGGGATGGGCGAAAGGATTGGTGAAGGGATGGGCGAAAGGATTGGTGAAGGGATGGGCGAAAGGATTGGAGTAACTGGAGGGTGGTCAGGAGGGTCTGGTAGGGGCAGCACGGAGCTCAGTACTCCGTCTCCTCCTTTTCCTCTCGTTCAGCCCGTGACTGTTGGCACTGCTGCTAGCAGTGAGGTGTATGTTGAGGCGCCTCAAAATACACCTCACGGGTCTGGTAGGGGCAGCACTGAGCTCAGTACTCCGTCTCCTCCTTTTCCTCTCGTTCAGCCCGTGACTGCTGGCACTGCTGCTGCTGCTGCTGCTGCTGCTGCTGACCCTCCTCCTCCTCCTGCTTCTGCCGCTGCCACCAGTGCTGCTGCTGGTACCATAGCTGCTGCTGGTGCTGCTGCTGCCGCTGCTACCGGTGCGGCGGCTGCTGCTGCTGCAGGGTCAGCTTTCGTTGGGGAGAGAGACGAGGATATGCCCGAGATGCTGGCTCAGTGGGAGCAAGAGCAGCAGTATTCGGAGCAGCAGGAGCAGCAGGAGCAGCAGCAGCAGGCAGAACAGCAGCAGCAGCAGTTGCAGTTGCAGGCAGAGCAGCATAGAGAGCAGCAAGGGCTAGGATTGGGGTCAGGGAAAGCGCCTGTGCTGGTGGGGCAGCAGGCAGAGCAGCAGTCAAAGCAGCAGACGGAGCAGCAAGGGCAAGGGCTGGGGTCAGGGAAAGCGCCTGTGCTGCCGCCTGCTCGCATTCACTGGGGGATGAGGAGGGGCGGCAGCATTGGGAGCAGCAGCAGCAGCGGCAGTGGGTCTGGGAGGGTTAGCGGAGGACTTTTCCATGCTGGTGGATGGAGCAGCAATTGGCGACTGCAACAGCAGCCACAGCCGCTGGAGAAGCAGCAGCCACAGCCGCTGGAGAAGCAGCAGCCACAGCCGCTGGAGCAGCAGCAGCCACTGCAGCCAGAGCAGGGCAGCACAGGGGAAGCGGCAGCAGCAGCGAGTGGAGGGCTTTTCCATGCTGGTGGATGGAGCAGCAATTGGCGACTGCAGCCACCGCAGCAGCATCAGCAGCAGCAGCAGCAGCAGCAGCAGCAGCACGAGTGGGTGCAGGAGAGTGGACAAGCAGTGTGAGTACATATGGCGCCACCAGTGTCAGTGCCGCTGGGGCCACCAGTGTAAGTGCTTCTGGGGTGCCACTGCCAGCACAGCTTGGTGCAACAGAGGAGGTATCGTCAACCGCAGCGTTGGAAGGGAGAGAGAGCGTGGGAGGTGCAAGGACGGAGGGGAGAGAGAGCGTGGGAGGTGCAAGGACGGAGGGGAGAGAGAGCGTGGGAGGGCAAGGTGTGGGCTGGTTGTTAGCAGGTGACATGAGAGAGGGAGGGCGTGTGGGCGGGTTGCTAGCAGGTGACATGCAGCGGCACCTTTCTGAGATGACTCTTAGGGCTTCAGAGGAGGAGGGGCTAGGGATGGAAAGGAGAGAGAGTGTTGGAGGGCACAATGGGGAGGGTGGCAAGGTGGTAACATGCAGCGGCACCTTTCTGAGATGACTCTTAGGGCTTCAGAGGAGGAGGGGCTAGGGATGGAAGGGGAGATGCCTGTTGGGACGGAGGGAAGAGGAGGAGGTGGTGAGGTGGAGTGGAGGATGGAAGAGGAATATCAGTATCAATACCAGCAGCAGCAGTATCAGCAGCAGCAGGAGCAGGAGCAGGAGCAGCAGCCGCAGCAGTATCAGCAGCAGCATGACCAGCAGCAACGGCATTTAGAGCAGCAGCAGTATCAGCAGCAGCAGCAGCAGCAGCAGCAGCAACCTTTTGAGCAGCAGCAGTACTTCCAGCAGGGGGAACAACAGCAGCATCCCCAGCAGCAGCAGCTGTACCAGCAGGAGCATTACACTCAACATCATGGGGAGTTTGCAGTTTTGCCAGGTCAGGAGCATCAGAGGCAGCAGCAGCAGCAGCAACCGCAATTTGGGCAGCTACCAGCGGGCAGCAGGTTAGTTGAGCAACAGTCCTCACCCACCCCAGCAGCACCCACACCAGCAGCACCCACCCCAGCAGTACCTACCTCAGAGGGAGGAGTGTGTGGTGCTACCAGCGGGCAGCAGCTTTGATGAGCTCATGACGGAAGCCAGTGACCCTTTACCTGGTACAGAGGGGTTTGATGCGGTGAGAAGTGGTTCTGAGCGGTTTGATGAGATGAGAGGTCCTGTGGAGGGGATGCAGCAGCAGATGCAAGAGCGGGTACAACAGCAGGAGACGTTTCAGCAGCATTTGGGTATCCATTATGCTAATCAACAGCAGCAACAAGAGCAGCAGTTGCAGTATCAGGAACAGCAGCAGCACCAACAGCAGCAGCGACAGCAAGAGTACCAACACCAGCAGCACCATCACCAGCAGCAACAGCAGCAACTGCCAACTCTGTCATTTCAGCAGCAGCAGCGGCAGCGATTACAACAGCAGCGTCAGCATCAGCAACAGCAGCAGCCATTTCAGCAGCAACAGCAGCAACAGCAGCCACAGCAGCCATTTCAGCATCCACAGCAGCCACAGCAGGCACCGCCAGAGCAATGGTATCAGTCACGGCATGAAGCCACCGAACAGCACTCGCAGCAACAACAACAGCCATTTCAGCCGCAGCAGCAGCAACAACAGCAGCCATTTCAGCAGCAACAGCAGCAGCACACACAGCAGCAGCCATTTCAGCAGCAGCAGCAGCAGCAGCAGCAGCACACACAGCAGCAGCCATTTCAACCACAAGAGATCATTCACCAACCGCACACACAGCAGCCATTGCAGCCACTGCAGGCACCGGAGACTGTTTATCAACAGCAAAGGCCAGCAGCAGTGCAGAGACGGCCACTGGGAGACGTGGTGTCCAATAAGGCTCCGGCTGTAGCGCCAGCTGTTGCGTTCCCAAGAGGGCCGGCTGTATCAGGAGCAGCTGCTGCACCTGCTACTGTGGGGTCCGGGCCAGCTGTCGCGATGGGATTGGACAAAGAGGCGTGGAAAAGGGCTGGGATGGTGGAGAGGAGGGAGGTGGAGAGGGAGAGGATGGGTGGTGTGGGAAGGATGAGGCAGGGTGATGAGCAGCAACAGATGTGGCAACAGCATCAGCAGCACTACCAGCAGCAGCAGCAGCAGCAGCAGCATACACCGATTCAGCAGGGTCTGGCACCTTGGCAGCAGCAACAACAAGCAGCGCAGCAGCAAGCAGTTCAGCAACATCAGCAGCACTACCAACAGCAGCAGCAGTATCAGCCCCAGCAGCAGCAGCAGCAGCAACACGATGGTGGCACAGCCAAAACCACTTCGTCTGGTTCTTCCGAAGTTTCTGAGAAGCAGCAGCAGTAGGCGGGTTCAGGAACCGGGGCAGATTGGGGCAGGCAGGGAAGCGGGAGTGCAGCCCATGCAACCGCCACTGGTGCTACAGCCATCCATGCCACAACCACCCATGCAGCCGCCAGTGTTGACACAAGTAGTGTCGCAACAATCTCTCATGCAGCAAGCATCCATGCAACAACCACCCATGCAACAACCATCCATGCAACAACCGCCCATGCGACAAACATTTATGCAACCACCGTCCATGCAACAAATACCCATGCAACAACCACCCGTGCAACAAATGCCCATGCAGCCACCATCCATGCAACAACAACGATGCAGCAAAAACCACCCATGGAACAACCATTGTTGTCACAACCAGCAGTGGACCAATCACAGGCACATGTATTTATTCAGCAGCAGCATCAGCAGCAGCAGCAGCAGCAGCAGCAGCAGCAACATCACCAGCAGCAGCAGCTTCAGGAGCCACAGCAGCAGGAGCAGCACGGAGATATGTACTCCCAGAGAGAGTATGGCGGGCAGAGTATGCACATGCATGAGCATGCCATGCCCATGGCCCCTCACAGTGGTCAGCAGTACCACACGCTGCATTATACACCCCCCATGCAGCAACATCCTAGTGACCTGAGCATTACACCATCTTCACAGTTTTCAGTCACACCAATGCAGCAACAGAAACAGCAGCAGCATCAGCAGCAACAGCAGCAGCAGCAGCATACACACCCAGCGATGCATCTGCAATCGTTACCAGCAGCACCAACAGGAGCAGTGGTCCCAGGAGAAGCATCAACACAAGCGCATGGGTTTGCGGCTGGTGTGACGGTACAAGTGAAGGGCGACTGGAAGGTGTATGACAATCAGATGGCTAGCATGCATCGAGATGACATGCACGGCCACAGCTGATTTGTCGGCCCAGATTAACACCTCCTGTAAATATGGGCCTTAAAATACGCATTTACTGCCCTGTCCGTTATGTTATGATTAATGCACTGTGCTATTATGTTGTGTGATGTGTCAGTTCAGCGTTGGAGCTACTGGTACTGGTACTGTTGGTTCTTTCTTCCAAACATCATACGGTAGCATGGTTGTACATAATTGGTACAGCGGGACCTTCATTCCCTTCTGTCCAGATCAAACGCGTTACTAGATGCGCTCTCGAACGGACTGACGAAGCACCTTATCCAACCAAATGCTTCAATTCATGAATGCCGAAACACGCCACCTTCATGGCTCATCAGAAGTGCAACTCTGAAATTGCCGCGGCATAAAAGGGTAATTACCTTCTGGGTAACTCACATCGAGCCCGCTGACGTCAAAAGTCACCTACGTGGCTCGATGGTACCCGTCAGATCATGCGCGCCCCTTCGTGGTACCCATCTTCCCTCCGTGGTACCCATCTTCCCTGCGTGGTACCCATCAACTGTGTGCGAATTCCCTGACTGGTACCGCAACATTTCAACCGAGCTGTACACCGTACACCAAGGGTTTCAATGCGTTTTTCAGTATATTGTCTTAACGTTTACAAGCTCAATAGAGTCAGAAGCCCGAAGTGCCACCTAATCGAGTCAATTTATCACACGCATTACCTATAATAGAGTGCAGAAGAAAAGCTGGATTCTTAATAAAAACATTCATTTTGTAGATTTGTTTAGGCTAAGAAACATCGACAATATAACGTGCTATAAGATAACGTAAAACTGATATATTGCATCAACCGAAAAAAAACATCCGTATAGCAAACAATCAACTTACACGTTAAGTATATATTGACTTAAGGTACATTTAATTTCATTATGGGTATTGTTTTGTTTCCAAAAACCATACGTATTTATTTTTTATAATTTTATGTTTAGCTTTAGGGGTGCATGCTCAATTTATTTGCATACAACCTTATAAAGTTTGTTCAAATAACCGACTGAGCGCTGCGAAACATGGTCGCAAGATTCACTCTACCTATCGTTCAGTGGTGTGAGCTTACGAAGGTTCGGAGTTAATGTGAGGATTTTAGAAGAGGAGTTGATTTCTTTCTATGTTGCACTCTGTCCAGTGTAAGGCACGTTTCAAACATTTATGTTCAAGGGTATTAATGTTCAATTAGAGTGTGTAAACGTTGTTATAATACGCATTGAAACCCTTGTTGTACTGAAAAACGCATTGAAACCCTTGTTGTACAGTGTACAGCTCAGTTTAAATGTTGCGGTACCAGTCAGGGAATTCGCGCACAGTTGATGGGTACCACGCAGGGAAGATGGGTACCACGGAGGGAAGATGGGTACCACGAAGGGGCGCGCATGATCTGACGGGTACCATCGAGCCACGTAGGTGACTTTTGACGTCAGCGGCTTCGATGTTGGTTACCCAGAAGGTAATTACCCGGCATTAAAAGCATCGAACCAGCAACCACAGTGCCACACAGATGACACAATCCAGACTCGAAGCCTGTGGATGTGGTATGCAAGCCACGTGGCTCTTAGTACATGCACATGACCCCCACTAACCTTCATGAACTGCACATCCAGCCGTCATTCACTCCAGCCCAGTCGAGATCCGACCGTTCGTTAGATTTTCCCGCCCGTCAGCAGGAAAGGTCTGGTTCCAGAATTCATCCTTGTCACCTTGCACGTCAATTTCGAGGTTCTACTAAAATTACCTCCTGGTGTCACCCACACAAACCACATTTTCCTTGACTTGAGTTGCGAGAACGAGCGTCAATAATTCAGTGATTACCTTTCGAGTGAGTCTCGTTTCTCAGAGCTCTAAGCGTCGCAGCCGTTTAGTTCCTGCTCCCTAGTCACACGAATTGCGCGTGCACCGGATTTCTCGTGTCGAATTCTCTTCCCTTTCGGTTCCACAATGGCTGCAACAATCCCGTCTCACTGTCTATCCGGCATCAAAACCACCACCCGTCACGAAGCAAACCCAGCTTCAACGTCAGCTCCAAGCAGCTAGCAGGGTCTCGCTAGCTCCCGTCTCCATCTCAGCTCCGCGATTCGCGGCGGGATCTCAGGGACGATGGAGCGCATCCGGCGGCGCGACGACCCGAGCCTTGGCGGTCGACGCGCAGCTCGCAGGAGCGGCAGCGCCGGCGGCGGATCAGACAGAGAGGCCAGTGATGCTCGAAGTTAAGGGCCTGAAAGCCGTTATTGCTGAATCCGGGAAAGAGATTCTCCATGGCGTCGACCTCTGCATTCGCGAAGGCGAGGTGAGATGTCGCGGAATTCTTCTCAAAACTCGATTTCGATGCGTTGCTCGAACCGTTTAACTGCGTCTTAGTTGAAGTTAAACGTAAGACAACATTTCGAGAGTCAAGTCGCACTCAAAATCTTGAACTCTGCTTATCACAAATAAGTTTTGGAATGGGTTCGGCGTGCTTTTGTGTTGCTGTTCCAAGTATCAAAACATCATATTTCAATCTACGCCTCAAAATGTCAGGCAGCGATACTTGAGACTTTCTGAATTCGGGACTGAGTAATTTCTTGATTTTTTTTTTACCTTCCTGTCCATGTTAGATTGCCACGTTATACGAATTTCTTCCATCTTCCTTTCCTGACTGTTTCCTGCTCCATGGGAATGCCGTTTCAGGTGCACGCAATCATGGGAAAGAACGGCTCGGGCAAGAGCACTCTCTCCAAGGTGAGACTTCGCCGTTCTAACTGCACTTTAGCATCCGAGAACACCCTCAGGTTCATCTTCAGGTGTATTTTCAGGTGCATTCTCAGGTGCATTCTCAGGTTTTCCGCTCATTGGGGAGAAGGGCTCGGGGAAGAGCACTCTATCCAACGTAAGAATCCGCCGTAACTGGCACCCGTATTGTAACAGTAACGTTACTAAGACTTGCTGTTCCCCGCTCAACATCCTCTTACCCCCTTGCACGGCACCCCCTTTTTTCAAACCCACGCTCTCCTCCCCCCCCCCCACCCCCACCCCCCTCTACTTCCTCCCCTTCTCCCCCTCCCTCCTTCCTGAAACAAATCAAATCACGGCCGGCACCAGGTGCCGATGGGCCATCCGGACTATTTAGAGGGCCACGGGGCGAATTAGATGGCCCTCTTAACCTTCTCGACTCTTCCCCCCCCCTCTCCTCCCCCCGTCTCCTCCCTCTCTCGCCACGTCCCTTCAGGAGCTGGTGGTCCATCCGGACGAGGTCACGAGAGGCTCTGTGACCTACCGCGGGGAGGATCGCTGGATCGCCCGAGGAGAGGAGCCTCTCTGATAGAGTGTGCCTCTCCTTGTCTGAACCCCCCTTTCTTCTCAACTCCCTCTTTTTTGCAGGTGCTGGTGGGCCATCCGGATTATGAGATCACGGGCAGGAGTGTGACCTACCGCGGGGAGGATCTGTTGGAGCTGGAGCCCGAGGAGAGGAGCCACGCTGATGGAGGTGTTCCTCTCCTTCCAGTCCTTCCACCCCACTCATACACCCCTCAACCCACCCCTCGAATACCCCACGCACCCCTCCTCAATCGCAGGTGCTGGTGGGTCACCCAGGACTATGAAATCACGGGCGGCACAGTGACCTACCGCGGGGAGGATCTGTTGAAGCTGGAGCCCGAGGAGAGGGAGCCACGCGGGCGTGTTCCTCTGCTTGTCTGAACCCTCCTTTCTTCCCAATTCCCTCTTTGTGCAGGTGCTGGTGGGTCACCCCGACTACGAGATCACAGGCGGCTCTGTGACCTACCGCGGGGAGGATCTGTTGAAGCTGGAGCCGGAAGAGAGGAGCCACGCTCTTACTATTGGGCTGGAGCTAACTCTCGACTCGACCACACGCCCACCTTCCCTCCTATTACCCCCTCCCCTTGTGCAGGTGCTGGTGGGCCACCCCGACTATGAAATCACGGGCGGCTCTGGACCTACCGCGGGGAGGATCTCTTGGAGCTGGAGCCGGAGGAGCGGAGCCACGCGGGCGTGTTTCTGTCCTTCCAGTCGCCCGTGGAGCTGCCCGGAGTGAACAACGTCGACTTCCTGCGCCTCTCGTGCAACGCGCGCCGGGCAGCGAAAGGGCTGCCCGAAATGGAGCCTCTCGAGGTGAGTTTAGGGTTTTCGAGGAGTGAGAAGCGTTTTCTGAGGGAGGGAGGGAGGGAGGGAGAGAGGGTCGAGGAAGCTGGAGGAATGTGGCCTGCTGTGAGAAAATGAGAAGGGGGAGATTCTAAATGCTCCAGCAGAGGAGCTTCTGAGTGATAAAGTGTACAAGTCATGGTTGTCAAAATGCACATCCCAAAACCGTTTGTCACCCATCCCCACCCACCCCTCCCTTGCCCCCCAAGTTTCTCCCAGTTTCTACGGCTTCCTGAGCCCAAGCTGGAAGAACTGAACATGGATCTCAAGTGCAACGTGAACGAGAGGGGGGTGTGGCGGGAAGGAGGGGTTGTGCATCCTGAATCCGTCTGTTTACCCACCCCTAAACCTGTCCCCTTCCCTCCCTGTCACTCCGTCCCCGTTCCCCCCTCCCCAGTTCTACGGCTTCCTGAGCCCAAGCTGGAAGAACTCACATGGATCTCAAGTACCTGCAGCGCAACGTGAACGAGGGGTTCAGCGGCGGCGAGGAAGAAGCGCAACGAGATCCTCCAGCTCGCTGTGCTGGACGCCGAGCTGGCCATCCTGGATGAGATCGACTCGGGGCTGGACGTGGACGCGCTCAGAGATGTGGCCACGGCCGTGAACTCACTCAAGAGGCCGGAAAAAGCGTATTGATGATCACTCACTACCAGCGTCCTCTTGGACTACATTCGCCCCGACTACATCCACATCATGGTGAGTTGCTTGCCTTGATTTGGTTTTGGTGGGAGTCGAGCGAGCAGAGTAGGAGGGGGGACGGGCTGGCCATTCTAGACGAGATCCTCCAGCTGGCCGTGCTGGACGCTGAGCTGGCGATCCTGGATGAAATCGACTCGGGGCTGGACTTGGACGCGCTCAGAAGACGTGGCCACTGCGGTGAATTCCCTGAAGCGGCCGGAAAAGGCTGTGCTGATGATCACCCATTACCAGCGCCTGCTGGACTACATCAAGCCCGACTACATCCACATCATGGTGAGTGCGCGTCTCCCTCTGGGTTGGGTAGGAGCGGTGCTGCGGTGGGCATCCTCCAGCTCGCTGTGCTGAACGCCGAGCTGGCGATCCTCGATGAGATCGACTCTGGACTGGACGTGGACGCGCTCAGATCGCCACTGCGGTGAACTCGCTCAAGAGGCCTGAAAAAGCTGTGCTCATGATCACGCATTACCAGCGCCTGTTGGACTACATCCGCCCCGACTCCATCCACATCATGGTGCGTGCTCTTGTGATTGGATCGAGCTGATTCGGGGGTCGTTGTGAGTGCTTGTGCCACGACTGACGATCCCTCTCGATGAGATCGACTCGGGGCTGGACGTGGACGCTCTAGAGACGTCGCCACGGTCGTGAACTCCCTCAAGAGGCCTGAGAGAGCGGTGCTCATGATTACTCATTACCAGCGTCTCTTGGACTATATCAGGCCGGATTACTATATCCACATGGGATCATGGGGTACTATATCCACATCATGGTGAGCGTGTGCATGACTGCTGAGTGTACTCAACGGCAAACTTGCTGGAACAGCACGAGAAGGAGGTGCTGACGATCACCCACTGCCAGCGCCTGCTGACTACATCCAGCCGGCTATGTTGGCGACGTGATAGGAGTGATTTTTTTAGGCGTCTCAGAAATTCACTCCTATCACGTGGCTGAAACAGCACGAGAAGGCTGTGCTGATGATCACCCACTGCCAGCGCCTGCTGACTACATATGGCCAGCTATGTTGGAGTCGCTTTTGAGATTTCTCAAAAGCTATGCATTTGTTGAATCCTTATTTGAATCGTTTCATGTTTTCTCCTCTGTGCGCCTGACTGTTACTTCCCCCACCCCGTTCAATCCACCCCTTGTTGCTTCGTATTGTGGTGTGCCTGCAAGGGGCAAGGCCGCATTGTGTTGACTGGTGATGCGTCTCTGGCATGACAGCTGAAGGAGAATTTAGAGCCGACTCAGATATAACTTCAATCTTGGACCTTTTTCTTCTCTCTCACGTTCTGTTCCCTCAACCCATGCTGTTTCCTATCCTGGTGTGGATGCAGGAGCAAGGCCGTATTGTGTTGACTGGCGATGCGTCTCTGGCATCAGAGCTGGAGGCGAAGGGCTATGCAGGCATTCAGAGCTAGAAGCCATCGTCATACTCTTCAAGTGGCACCTAAAAAACAATATGTCTGGTGATGCATCTCTGGCATCAGAGCTGGAGGCGAAGGGCTATGCAGGCATTCAGAGCTAGTTTCCAGGCTCGTTTAACTTCCTGGTTCGGGTTCTTAGAAGACTATGGGGTGAATGGTTGGGTGGGTAAGATTCTGCCAGGTTATTCACTTATGCTGTCTCCGTTGGAGGAAAAACGTGTCGTGCATTTCCGCTTTAATAATGACTATTGTAGATTGAACCACTGGCTGAACCATGCTTTAATGAACACTGCATCCCGCCCTTCCAATACAACCATCTAGTGAGATGGGAGGGGATGTGGATGTGACCACATGGATAAGCTGACCATACAATGTCAGAAGTAGGAACGTAAGAATGACTAGGATCATGGGCAGTACAGGATTGTATAGATAACCCTAACCCTAAAGTGTTGCACCCTTTAGAGTATGCCCCTCTACAGCCTACAGAACAAATACAATTTGATACACCCCCATAGGCAAAGTGGGGGATAGCAAACACAGCGGATGGTCACAAGACCAGTCAAGCAAGAGAAGAAAGCAAAACAAAACTCTGGGTGAATCTCAAGATCACCACGCATTCTGAGCACAAGCAAGCGGCCACAAGGCCAGTTCACATGCAGAGTTATGAAAGCACAAACGTACAGTGATCACAAACTAGCAAGAACAAGCATGCAGGTATATATATATATATATATATATATATAGAGAGATCACAGTACAAGACAAGTCAAGCAACCAGCAGGTGAGGCAGAGTAGGCACAAGGCCTAGAGCAGTGCAGAAACTCTAATGATCACCAGACCCAAGGGCCTTGGTGAAGACATCAGCAGTGTTGGTCCGAGAGGCCACGTAAGCAAAGCGCAGCTGACCACGCTGCTGCAGCTCCCGAGCAAGAAAGTAACGAAGAGCAATGTGCTTCGTTCTGTGCTCCAGTCTCTGCTCCTGACACAAGGCAATCATGGCCTTGTTGTCGACGTACAAAACTGGAGGAGAACGAGGCCGCTCACCCAAGTCGGTCAGCAGGTAG